CATCGGTCCTGGCCACCGCGACGAAGTTCAAGTCCAAGGTCATGGCAATGATGGCCAACAGCTCTCAACTGATGGCCTCCATCGCCAGCGAGAGCGACTGGGCTTGGGCCAAGGGCGGGGTTAAGCAGAGTGAGCGGGTGACGCTGAGGGAGAACTTCGACAAGTCGTTGACCGCTATGGATAAGGAGATCCTTCGCTCTCGTGATTTCAAGGACCTCAAGAAGAAGTACACGAAGGAGATGCTGCACGTGGAGCTGGGGAGGTTCATCGGTCACAAGAAGGGCGTCGATACCATCGAGTCCAAAGTGCGTGCGCTCTACGCGGCGCACGAGAACCTGTCGTGCGGTGCGAGCGACTGAGTGCTCACCGCTGTGTCGGGGGTGAGCTAACTAATGCCATCGTCCTCGGCCCTGCACCCCCCCCCCAACTGTTCCAGTCGAGCAGAGCGGAACGGGAACGTCCTCCATTCCCGGAACAGAACCCCCCACACCGGCACCAAACGCCGTCTCTGAGATCAAAGGCGGGGGCATCGGGGTCCTGCGTTTGGGCCAGGGCTATGGTTTTCACAAATTCGATGTGCTTTTCGGCAGTTCTGAAAAAAACGGGTCGTTAAATCGTCGTTAAATCGTATCGTTAAATCGTAGCGTTAAATCGTGATTTTGTGTGTGCGGGCACACAGAAACATGATAATTTAACGACCCATGCAAAAGCAAATTTAACGTTAAATTTCCATTAAATTTCGTTAAATTTGGTTTGGGCTGGTTGTCGGTTCGTGTCGCTTTGAATCCGAACGAAGGGGCCGCCCCAACCCAAACAAACCAACGAGAATGAGACACCGAGCCCCCTTTCTTGGCTCTCTTGGGTCGGGGCCCTCTCGGGGGAGGGAGGGAGGGAGCATGGCTGTTAGACAAATCTGTTTGACAGTGCCTTGTGGTTTGGTTGATTTGTTCAGGCATGCTCTGCGATCGGCCTGGACTGTGAACGGCTGAGCGGCTGAGAGGAGGGAGGAGGGGGTAGGGAGGCGTAGGAGGAGGGAGGAGGGAGTAGGGAGGAGGGAGGAGGCAGGGAGGGAGGGAGGGAGGGAGGGAGGGAGGGGAAGGAGGGAGGGAGGAGGGAGGGAGGGAGGGGGGAGGGAGGGAGGGAGGGAGGAGGAGAAGGAGGAGGAGGAGGTCCTCCACCTGCACCTCGTCCTCCACCGCCGCCAGCTTCCTCGTCCACCTCCCTCCTCCTCCCTCCTCCCTCCTACCCTATCCTCGACCTTATCCTCCTGCTCCTCCTCCTCCTCCCCCCCCTCCTCTCCTCGCAGTGTCAATTTTGACATCGTAGGGTTGACGGCCTTCTTCGGGGTTGAAGGCCGCGAGCGTTGCAATGCCACACGTTGCAGTTGTGACTGCAGTGCGCCCTGGCGTTGTCCAGGGTTCGTTGGACAATTGTACAATCGCCGATGAGACGGCATCATCATCCTCGTCAATCATTCCCATTCGCACCGAGCTTGTGTGGGATAGCATATGGTCTGTTGGTTAGGGCGTATGGTATAGGCTGTTCCCGCCAGAGGGGCACGGTGCGATGTAAGATGCGCGCATTCCCCTTTCAGTGCTAGCACTCTCAACATGAAAGCCTGGTTTGAATATTCTTCGAGGGTGCCTGAACAGCTGCGTAGGCGGAAATTGGTGGTCTCCAGTGGGGCTCAGAAGTTCTTCAGTGGTCTCCAGTGGTCTCCAGTGTTGGCGTGCCGTTCGTTGGTGGTCTCCAGTGGGGCTCAGAAGTACCAGCTGGTATCGTGAGGCTCTTCCACCTTCTCCAGGGGGTCTCCAGTGGGGCTCAGAAGTACCAGCTGGTCTCCAGTGGGTCTCCAGGTCTCCAGTGGGGCTCTCCCACCTTCTCCCAACATCGTAACCATTTTGGCTCGTGATGTTGCTTTTGGCAGCGCCTGCGCGTGCGACCCAGTTCCTCCACCCCATGGTAAAGCGACACTCTTGGGAGATTGCCCCCGAGAGGGGCTGGGATGCGCAGGGCGCCGAGCTTGGCGACGGCGGCCCTCCAGGCGATGGCCCAGAATGGGGGGAGTGTTCCGATTCAGACGATGGCGATCAAGATCCAACTCCGCAGTGCGAGCTGGTGGCTACGTTGATCACGTTGTATTTTTTCTCGTGTGCTCAGCGCCCGTCAGTTTTGTGGACTCATGTTATTAGTGGCCAAGTGTGGTGTTGCGGAAGCTAAAGACTACGGCTTCCGACCAGGCGCCCCAAGCGGGCACTACTCCAGACATCTGAATGTAAAGTTTGGCCACGACCGAGCCAACGAAGACTTGTATACGTTTGAGTATCCATCGTCAGACAAATTTGATCTCGATTGTGTTGGGCGCCCAGCATTCGCCATTCCAGCGCACGAACAGATTTTCAAGAATATGGTATCATCGTCGTTCCGCACTCGGCTCTTAGAGAAAAAACTCGCAGGCGAGTTTCCTGAAGTTGATTGCAGTCACCCAGTCGTTCAAGGAGCGGGCGATCATGAGCTGGTGGCGCCTGTTGCCATATATGTGGACGCTGTTCCGTATTCGCATGTTGACAGCGTCATCGGATGGTGGATCGCAGACTTGATAACTGGGTCCAAGTATTTGGTGGGATTGCTTCGGAAACGGCACGCCTGCAAATGCTCATGCAAAGGCTGGTGTTCTTTCCATAGCTTTTGGCGCATCTTAAGGTGGTCACTTGACTGCCTGCGTCAAGGGACGTGGCCTACGTGCAGGCACGACGGCTCGCCTTGGGGAGCCCTCGACTCTAAGAGGAAACGTATGTCAGGGCAGCCCATGCCAATGAAATGCGCTTGCCTTTACCTCAAAGGCGACTGGTCCGAATTCGTGTCGACAATTGGTCTCCCAAATTGGAGGGATGCTCTCCGACCGTGCTACGAATGCGCAGGGTATGGCGAAGCATTGTATGCCACGCGCGGGTGCGGCAGGCGTGGGCTCGTCTGGCACGCGAACGGGGAGGCTGACTATGAGGACGCCTGTCAACGGTGTGAAATCTGGTGCGACCTGACTTCGCGTTCGAAAGCTTTCGTGGTGGCTCGGCTTCGCTACGATCACAGATCAGATGGCGCCCATGGCTTGGCCCTGACACACGCAGTTCCAGAGCTTGGGCTACAAGTGAATGACCGACTGGAGCCGACCCTGGAGCTTCCCGATGTTAGGGCATTGAAAGACATGCAGATTGCAGAAGGCTGTACATTCCGCGTGTGTTTCTGGAGGAACAGCAACGACACCTTAACTCGACATCGGAACCCTATTTTCTCAGACGCCAACGGGGTAACACCGAGGCGTGCACTTGCTTCTGATATTCTCCATGCGATCAACTTGGGCATTATGAGCGTGTTTTGCAAAACAACAGTGTGGATTCTCATAATGCACGGCTGCTATGCCAGGCTGCCAAACCAAGAAGACCAAGTACACACCAGTTTGAGAGTGATCCGCACGTTGTTGATGCAATGGTACTCGTCGCGACACAAAGAAAGGCCAGAAGAAAATCTGACGAGAGTGTCAGATTTTTCTAAATCGACTGTCGGTGAGTTTACTGACCAACAGCTACGTGTAAAAGGTGCGGAGTGCTGGGGGATTATTTTGCTCTTGGTGGACGAGTTGGTCAGGCTTGGACATAATGCAGGCCCACACCATGCTCTTCTTCTTGCTGCTGGTGAAAGCCTGGTTGGCCTGATAGACTTGTGGGGCCATGCGCCGAGCCGTCTTTCAGATGATCAGGTCGACGAATCATTCCGTTTGTATTCTGTGCACATGAACGCCATGCTGCCATTTGATGCGTTTGCCCCAAAGCACCACATCGTGTACCATCTACGGGAAAAGTCTATGTGGATGGGCAATCCAAAGGTGTATGCCACGTGGGTTGACGAAGCGTTGAACAAACTATTAAAACAAACGTGCAGACTGACGTCTCAATATACATTTGATCAAACCGTTCTTTTGCGCATGCAAGAACTGCTTTCCAAGCACGCGTTCCACTCATGCATGTGAACTGTTCCTGTGACTTGCAAGGAAAAGTTCGACCTCGAAATGCCCCCAACACTGTGTTTGCATCGGCGCCTCTCGGCGAGACCGCCTGCCCCATCTGACACATCAAGCCTCCAATCGCCCCCGACCGTGCCCCCCCCCGAGGGCCGCCCCCAGAAACAACCGACCCCCTCCAGCAGGCAGGGCTTTAAGGAAGGCCTTGGGTCTAGAACTTTGGATTCATATCGATATCGTGGGGGGCTTCAGGCATCAGGTAACCCTTTAATGTTTTATATCATGCCTGGCCATTATGGCTTGGAGTTCTTAGCTGGGGGGTGGGGCTGGGGGCGGGGAGCGGGGGAAACCTGGAGGGCGTGTTCATTTGCGATTTATTCTGGTGGTTGGCCCCCCTCCTGGTGGCTGAGCAACGCCAGCGACAATTTTCGGTATCGGACCACCCCTCACACTATCGATACCCCGCGCCCGTCGCAAGATTGCGTACCTAGCGCTTTGAGCGTGCAGCGTGCGCCGTTCAGAGTCATGCACGTGTGTCGTCATCCGCCATTATATTCCCTCGACAGTGTTTGCTCAAACGGGCTTTGCACAAAGCAACAAAACACCTCCGTCTTGGACGCCTACAAGAGCCGCCCATTATTGGACATTCCTCAACCTCCTCCGACTCCGCCGCCTCCCGATCCTCCCCCATCATCCGTCCACCTCCTGATCCCTCCTCCTCCCGTTTTCCCTTTCCTCCACCTCCCCCTCCAGATCATCCCCTCGCGTGGCCATTTTGGCTCAACTCTTGAAGCGTGATGGCGTAGATGAGTACATCACGCGTGTAAGTGGCATGTGCATGCTTAATCGCATGTGCGGTCTGATGCTTAATCGCATGTTGTCGATTCTGATGCTTAATTTAAGCATCAAGGGACCACAGGGTAGGAGGGTGCCAGAATGCACGTAGTCCACGTGGCCGCGGCTGCAAAGGCACAGCCAGATCCTGTGCATGGGCGTCTCGGCGTCGGCTCCGCATCTCGGGCGCGCCGCGCCCGCCCGGCACCGGGCCTCGACAGGCCTCAGTGGCCGCTGCGCTCCCGCAACCGCGCGCAGGTCGAGGAACCGCCGGGCGAACTGGCCCTTGTCGGTGAACCCATGCGCTTCGCGGGCGATGACGCGCGCGTCTGGGCCGCTGCGCTGTAGGCCGCCACCGCGGGGGTGCTTGGCAGCGTCGCCCCGGGGCCAAAACTCGCGGACGAACTGCGGCGGGTCGAAATCGCGGCGCCTCTCGCCCCGGTCGACGCAGTCTGCGCGCGGCAGGGTCCGCATCTGCTCCGCTGGCTCACCCTCGCGGGGTTGGCGGGGCCGCTCGAAGGAGGCCGGCAGCCCCGCCCAACTTCGACGAGAACGGCCTGCGAGGCGAAGATGGGCCCCGCAACCTTGCGCCACTTCCCGTTGCCGTAGCTGGCGGTCGCCCGGTAGAGTAGCCCCCGCACCTGGGTGATCCGCTGATGTCTAGCGGGGTTGGCGAACCAGACGTGGGGCCACTCCTCGACGGTCTGCTCGCGGAGCTTGATGCCGGGGCTCTTGGCGCCGAGGGCAGCGGCGGGCGCCGCGGCGAGGCGCCTGCCCGGGACCTTGCCCGCTATCGCCCATGGAGCTCGTCGCCGTCGATCGGTGCGTGCGCTCGGGGCGAGGCTCGTGATCTGGCGGCCGCAGATGGCCTGCGGCCTGGAGCCCGTCGCCCAGAGGCCCTTGGCGAGGGAGGCGTGCATGCGCATCTTGGCGACGATGCGGTCGGCCCCGCGCTTCGCCATATCCGCGCGCTTGTAGGCCTTGGCCACCCCCCTGTTCGCCGCTGCCGCGTCGATGCCCAGGTCGGCTGATGAGTTGGCGACCATGCTGGTGCAGCCCTCGGCCTGGCGGCCCACGTGGGCTGCCAGCGCAACCGCTGGGCTGGGCGCGAGGACCGCCGTCTTGGGCGAAACCTTTAGGTCCGTCGCCGTCATGCCCTTGCAGAGGATGATGTCCACGCCTGTCAAGTCCACGGCGACCCGCTCGGATGCGCCCTCGGCCCCGGCGGCGGCGTCGTCGACGAAGGACCAAATGCCCGCGCTAGCGCAATTGATGTGGGCCGCGGCGAGGACGAAGCCCAAGCAGACCTTCGCTGGCTTCCCGCCGCGCCTGCTTCCAGCGAACATGGAGCGCCGCGGGCCGATGATGTCGCTCACCCAGCCGCGCGCGCGGAGGTGCCTGGGCGCGAGGAGCAGCTGCGCCTCTGGCGCCGCCGCGACGGGCGGGAACCTCGCGCGGACAGCAGCGTCGAGGAGCACTCGTCGGCCAGCTGCTCATGCCGTCGGGGGGGAGGCGCTGGACATCGAGCGGTCCGACGTCGTCGGCTCCTCGTGCCTGCTGAGGGTCGGCGACGCTGACCACCGCGGCTCGACGTTGGGGCAGAGGTCCTCCCTGGCCAAGCGCGTCGCGTTGGCGCGCGCCCAGATGATCTGCCGATCATCGCAGGCGTTGGCGGTCCACGCCTGCCTCCAGGAGCCGGCCGCTCTGTTCGCGACGGCGTAGGGGTCGCTGGCGGTGCTGCGGTTGAGCTCGGCCCCGGGCTTCTGCGCGCCAGGGGCGACGACGAATCGGAGCAACTTCCCTGGAGCCCCCTTCCATGCCTTCTTGGTCCAGTGGAGGTGCCGCTCGCGAGCCCTGCCAACTGTCCTCGCCATGGCGCGGCCCGCCCACCCCTGCGTCGCGGCGCGTGCGCGGTGGGCAGACCTCGCCGCAGAAATCAAGGGGACGCGATGCACAAGTTTCCATTCATTCGTCGACCTCGGTCGGGCCCGCTCTGGTTCCGAAATGATCCTCGTGGAACTCGGGGTTGTCGAGCTGGTCCTGTGGCGGCGATGATCTTGCGTGTCTGACGCGGGAAGTCCCTGCCGTTCTCGACCAACGAATGGTTGCGGGTGCTGAGAGCGCTGAAGCGCCGCCGCCACGCTGCCTCCGGGTCATTGATGCGGGCGCGCCCAAGCGTCGCCATCATCGCCTGCTCGGCCGCCTCGTAGCCCTGGGCCCCTCGCCGACGGGGGGGGCGCCATGCGCGCCCAGGCAGGCGATCTCCACGGTGGTCGCCCAATGCGCGTTAGCTGTCTTGACCTGCTCGGTGGCGTTCGGGTCGCGCTCGTGGAAGATGCGCACCCTGCCCTCCGCGGCGCCTGCGACGTGCCCCATCGAACGTCGGGGGGCTCGCGGCGACGGCCGCTGCCCTGTCCCAGAGGTCGGCAAGGGCGACGAACGGGATGTCGCCCGCGGCCTCGGGCTCGTGGCCGACCTCGGGGGCGTCGGGCTCGGCGCGCAGGTGGCCCGGCGACCTCCCCCCCCGGTTTCGGGCGCTGCTAGAAGTGCCTCCGGCCAGCGGCGCCTCCAGCATTTACGGGCCCCCGGGGCCCTCTGGGCCTCGTAGGGGGCGCGCTGCAGAGGCCGCCTGGGCCGCCCCGAGAATCCCGGCGGCACCTTGGGCCAGGGGCGCTTCTAGCGGCGCCCGATGGTTCGCGGCGCCTCCGCTCGAGCCCGACTTCTCACCATTCGTGTTGGCGCCTTTTTGGAATCTGGCTCTCGCGGGCAGGGCTGCGGGGACCTCGCTAGCTTTGCAGCGCCGCGGCATTGGCGGTCCCCACCGCGACCTGGATGCCGCGGCGGATCTTCCACGGCGCGCCGTGCGCGGCAAGGCCATTCGCGCAGTCGCGCGCGGGGCCCTCGCCCTTGCCGCGGGCGGCCGCGCGCGCGGTCGGCGACGATTGCGCCGTTCCATCCGGTGAGCCTGGGATTGCCTGCCCACCAATGCGGGTCGCAGTTCCAGCCGGCGGGGGCCATCCAAGGGTCGCTGAGCATGTCCACGAATTAAAATGGAGATCGGCGCGAGGGCGCCCCCGTCGGCCCCCTCGCTGCGGACCCCGCGCCGCAGGTGCGCTGGCGCGACCGCGACGTCGCCGCTCTTGGCGCGCAGGGTGGCGGGCGCGATGCCCGCGAATGATTGGCGCCCGCGCGTCCTGGGGCAGCGCGCCCTGTAGCCCTTGAAGGCGGCAGCTGCGAAGTAACGGCGGGCGAGGAAGCGCTCGCCGCCATGGGCGCCCTTGTCCGACATGCTGGCGGCCGGGTCTGGAGTAGCGGGCGGCCCCCAGCCGCCCGTGGCGGGCTTGCTCAGTGGCTCTAGGAGCCCTTTGCGCCCGCGCGTGTCTCCGCCAGGGCGAGGGCGCGGCGCTGGCGGCCGACGGTTCGGCAGAAAATGGCCGCCCGCGGCCCCTGCTCGGAGACGCGCCCGAACGGGGCGCGCGCCTGGTGGAGGTTGCCCAGGCCACGTTCCGCCTGCGGCGGCTGCTCTGGCACCTGCAGCAGCGGTGCCTGGGATGCCCTTGCCCCCCCCCCTTGACGGACTGGGTCATATCCTTGGTCTTGGCGGAAGTCTCGATGAGGGCGGCGGCTGCGCAGCGATCCGCGTCGGTGTGCTCGGGCCCTGCTGGCTGCGCCGCAGGGTCTTCGAACGGCGTCGAGGCGCCCGGGGCCTGCGCCGAGGCGGGGCCTGAGAGGGGCCGCGGGTGCTGCGAGAGGTCGGGCCCTCCAGCAGATGGCTCGGCCGTGCGCTTCTTCCTCTTGGCGGGGTCGTCGGCCGACTCCTCAGCCGTGCGGAGGGTCTCGCGGGCGAGCTCCTGGCCTTCGTTGGGGGGCCCTGGCCAGGCCGTCGACGCCCCACTTCCATTGCGCCATCTGCGCTGTGGTGGTCTCGTCGTAGATCGAGAGGTCGTCTGAGATCGAGCTGTCGATGCGGAACAGGTCGGGGCCGTGCCCCGCCCGCCCTGCAGCGCCACCGAGTTTGGCGCGGCCATTGTCCTGAGCCCGCGCGCAGGTCTTCGCTCGTCGTGCAAGTTCGAATGCTGCCTGCTCCACGGCGTCGTTGAGCCGCGCCTGCGCCTCGGCGACGTACTTGGCGGTCTGTTCGAAGTTCTTCTCGCGATCGTGCAGCGCAGCGAAGGCTGACTGGGGCCCCCGTTGAGCACTCCATGCTGGCGGTGCCTTTGCTGGCCCCTGGGGCGCTTCAATGATTCGTCCGACCAACCTTCCGCGCTTCTCTTCCTGGAGGGGCGTCTTGACGGCGCCGAAGATGAAATCTTTGGTCGGGGCCGCGTGCGATGGCGCCTCACGCCACGGCGCTGGCTTCTTGGGCCCTCCCGCCCAGGCGCCTTCAGGCTGGCGGAGCTCGCTCGTGAGGCGGCGGTGCGAAAGACTTGCCGCGAGCGAATCGCTCCTGCTTTGAGTTCCGCGTCCATCTGCAACGGCACTGCTTGCAAAACGCATGCTCGCATGCGTCGCCGCGGGGAAGGCCGCGGCCGCCCCCTGGCTCAGGTGGGCGCGGGGCGGGGCGGTCGTCTTGCTGAAACCCTCGGCTGCCATTGGGAACCGTTCCGCCACGCTGCCGCTGCACCTCGCCAGGAAGTTTTCCACGGAAATGGGCGGCAACTCGCCCATGAGGGTGGCTGCGAACACGGAAGGGGGCCGCGGCTCGCCCCTGGTTGTAGCCGCGGACACGGAAGTTTGCATCAGCTCGCCCCTGATTGTAGCCGCGAGAACGATGGTCGCTAGCTTTGGGGACCCCCCCCCCAAACAGGCAGCGAGATGGAACAAATGTGGGCCTTGAGCCAAAATGGCTTCGGGGGGAGGAGGATCGATCGATCGAGCTCTCGGGCCTGTCTGGGGTTACAGGACTAGGACTAGTACAATGAGCTTTCAAAAACTATAGTGCGGCCTATCGGTGGTCAATTTCTGGAATTGGGGACGCTGGCGCCACGGGGCGCTCGGGCCCTACCTGCACTGACCTCCCCTACGCAAGGTCCGCGGGCAGGGCAGCACCCGCGTTTACGGGTGCCCTCTCGCGTTTTCCTCAAAACCCAAAACACTGCGAGAGGGGGCAGCGTCGGCAGAGCGCAGCTGCACAGAATGCTCGCGGCCGCTCTCATGCCCTTCGGCCTCACCCTCATTGTGGCCCTTCCCTGGCCCTTGCGTTCTGGTGTCCTGCTGCAGGGCGTCCGCTGGTGTCGCACTACACTGATCTGTGTCCCGTCGGCCACGATCTGGAGTTGCACCAGCTGGCGTCGCACAGAACTGATTTGGAGGAGGAGGAGGAGGAGGAGGAGGAGGAGGAGGAGGAGGGGGAGGAGGAGGAGAAAGAGGGAGAAGGAGGAGGGGAGAAACAGGTCGGGACGAGAAGCGTTTCAAAAAGGACGTTTTGTCCCGCGTTTCTTCTACACACCACGTTGCGGCCTGCGGCCTACTCCACGGGATCCTGTGCCCGCAGGCGACGAGGAAGGCATGTGCGTTCCTTGGGGGGGGGGGGGTACCAGTGTCCGACGTCGGGAACAAATTTCGACGTCGCGGGAAGATCACGGCTAGAACTCTCGACCGAACCTCCACGCAATGTGTCTTTCGAGCTGCATCGGTCCGTGCAGGTCCCGCGGGCTGGACACAGCGCATAAACACGCGCACACGCGCGCGCACACACACACACACACCAACACACACCACACCTCCTTCCCAAGACGCCCCGATGTCAGAGAAAACAACTCCCCCCCCGCATTCTCAAGAGGACCGCCCCCCTCGCGCCCGCCCCCCTCTGGGCACCGCCGACGCAACTCCATGGCAAGAAGCGGGTTCGGCACGCCTTTGGGACGTACCCCTTCGCGATCCGGATCAGCTGCTCCTAGCGTGGGCCGGGGGCCGCTGCTGGCAGCGAGATCGGGAGAGATCGCGAAAGTCTCATGTGGCACAAGCAGGATCGAATTACGTGCGCGCCTCACGCGCGCTTAGGTTCTAGCCGCGCCCAAGGAACTTGCATCGCAAGTTGCCAATGAGGAATGCGGGGGCGATTCTGGAGATCCTTCGGGGGTGGTAGAGGGCCCTGCGGCAATTAACTGTTAGCATCCCGGCGACGCGCCGAGGAGTCCTGAGATTCTGCGCTTTTTGAGCTTCTCTGGATCCACCCGAAGACCAGACGGGTAGCTTAGCAACGGAGAACTGTGCCCGAGTCTGGTTGCGAAGTGCACGCCACCAGGGCCACACCCCATCTCTTCCTGGCCACGCACCTGGGGCCAAGCCAAAATGCAACGAAGTCAAGAAAACCCATCCGGGTCGCAGCGGCAAAACCTCCAATTCGACGACTCTGGCTTCTTGGGGGGCATTCTTGAAGAGCTTCCGTACCACCTCCAGCCGTCCATGGACCGTCTTGAAGCCTCTTGGACGCCTGCTGGAAATGCGGTATTGCTGCCCTTCGGACCGTTTTGGGGTCGTCTTGGGTTGTCTTGGAGCCCTCTTGGGGCCGTGCTGGGGTCATTTTGGGCCATCTTGGGGTCCTCTTGGATATATTGTGCCGTGCTGGGTTCATGCTCTTGCGTCGTCTGAGGATTTCGGAAGTCCAGAACTGCGAGCTTGCTGAAATACTTCTCCTTTTCGAGGTCCTGCAAGGAGGTGTCCAGCAAGGACTCGTCAATCGGAGGTTTGGTGGGATTCGCAAGGCAGAGGTTTCCAGCACGGACTCGCCAATCGGAGGTCAATGTGAACTTCTGGTAGGGAGAAACTACTTGGAGAGAGAACGCACCAGCAAGCGAAATGCAGCAGCAAGCGCAAGCAATATACACCAGCCGGCATAATGCACCAGATAAGGAGGGGTGGGACAAGGGAGGCAACCCGAGTGTTCTACCGGTGGCCAAACATTAGATCTCAACACAGAAATTATCCCATGGGGCCTTAGTGGTCCCCAACTGGCATCTTCGGATCTGTCGTGCAACCAACTCGACCCCCAAATCCCAATCCAAAATATGGTGTTTCCTGAGGATGGTGGGTTCCACGGATCCGGAACCGGGTCCGGACCCGTGCGTACATCAGAAAAGAAAGCTGAGAAGTGTGCACTCAAGGGGTGAAAATTGGGATCACGGATCCGGAATATCCCAATCCGAATCCTGATCCAGATCCAGGTCCTGATCCGTGCGCACATCTGATTCATAAGCTGAGACCTGTCCAATCAGGGACGGGGGTTGGGATCTCGGATTCGGACTATCCCGATCTGGATATATACACGCCCCGATCCGTGCGTGCAGCGCAAGAACAAACGTATAGGCCTGCGTGCTCAGGGGCGGGGATGAAGGTCACGAGTCCAACTTCTCCCAATCCCGATCCAAGTCCAGGTCCAAATCCGTGCGTCGGAAAAACGAACTTGGGCCTGTCCTGCGCGCTCGGAAATGGGATCACGGATTCAGATTATCGCAATTTGGATATGAATGTGGAGCTGGGTCCGGGACCGTGCGCACATCAAAAAATTCATCGCAGACCTGTGCACTCAGGGGCTGCAAAGACCGGGATCACGGATGTGGATTATTCCGATGTGGATCCAGTTCCGGACCCGGCTCCGGATCCGTACACACATCAGAAAAAATCAGCTGAGACCTGCGTACTGAAAGGCGGGGATTGGGGCCACAGATCTACGAATCCCAATCCAAATCCGACTCCAGATCTGGAGCCAGGTTCAGACCCGTGCGCACATCAGACGAGAAAGCTGAGACATGTGCACTCAGGGGCGGGGATTGGGGCCATGGATTTACAAAATCTTTTTCTCGATACGAATCTGGATCTGGGTCTGGACCCGTGCTTGCATTAGAAAAAATGCCGGGACCTGTGCACTCAGGGACGTGGACTGGGCCGCAACAGTCCTTCAGGGACCACTCTAGAATCCGCAGGAATCTTCAGGAATCCATTTTGGAACATTCTGGACTCCACAGGAATCCTCGGGAAACTTGTAAGAATCCAGGAAGAACCTGAATGGAATTTGATTGAAGTCGTATTGGGATCTTATCACCCTCCCCATCCCGTTCCCCTTCCCCCTTCCCATCCCCCTCCCCCTCCCCCTCCTCCTCCTCCTCCTCCTCCTCCTCCTCCTCCTCCTCCTCCTCCTCCATCATTCCTTTTCCTTATAAATAACCTCTCCCTGTCGCACCCTGGGGCCGATGTTTAGGGCGGGCCGGGCGTTTCGCCTGAGACTTCCTCACCAGCTATGACTTTGAAGCGTAACGATTTGCGGAAGCTTCACAGATGGAGGGCGGGTGGTTTGCAAAATGTGGTTATCGCTTTAGCGTGGCGCGAATTCGTTTGAATCATTTGCAAGAGCTTAATGGGTTGAGGGCGGGTGGTTTTCAAAATGTTGATCTGGCTTTAGTGTGGCGCACAATCGTTTTGACAAGTTGCCAGAATGTCACGGCTTGAAGGCGCGTGGTTTTTAAAATGTGGCTCTCGCCCTAGCGCGGCGCACACCAGTGTTAACCAACATACAAGAGCTTCACGGATTGAGAGTGGTTTCTGTCCAACATGTAACTAGCTCTCGCCTTAGCGCCGCGCACATTCGTTTTTTTTTTGTTTGATACACTTGTCAAGGAGTTTCACGGGTTCCCATCATCAAAGTACCAGGCATGGTGTTTCAAAAAGATTAACGATTGCGAGGGCGAGAAATTACGTTGATTCTCTGCGTTGAAATGATCTGGCTTAATTCAGAATCGTCAATACGCAACAGTCAGGTTGACCCGTGGCGTCGACATCCCGAGAACAATGCTTTGGCATGCTTCAGGGTTTTCGAACTGCCGTTTTCCAGCTAGGCGGTTCCCTCAATGGAAATGAACCGTTGTAGGGGCGTACGCAGAGGGAACGTGGGGGAAGGGTTCGCTCCAACATCGTTGGTGACCCTTGGGTGCCCACTGGTCCACCTCCTCCTCCTCTCCGCCTCCTCCTCCTCCTCGTGTTCCTCTTCTTACCTAACAGCGAAGACTGATAGATTTCCGGTGCCCAGAGGGTCTGGGCGGGATCCGGACGGGATCTGGGGGAATCCGGAAACTCCTTCTTTAGCCAACGGTAACGCACTTCGTGGTCTTCGAGTTCCCAGAAGTCAATTCCTGGGCATGATTTTGAATGCCCGGAGCCATCTGTAGGCCACTTCGTGTTTTTCGAGTTCCCAGAACTCCATTCCTGGGCATGATTTGGAAAGCCCGGGGCCAACTGTAAGCCACGTCGTGGTCTTCGAGTTCCCAGAACTCCATTCCTGGGTATGATTTTGAATGCCCGGAGTCAACTGTAGGCCACTTCGTGGTCTTCGAGTTCCCAGAACTCCATTCCTGGGCATGACTTTGAATGCCCGGAGCCAACTGTAGGCCACTTCGTGTTCTTCGAGTTCCCAGAACTCCATTCCCGGGCCACATTTTGAATACTGAGGGAGGCTGATGCTGAGGCTGAGGCAAGCTGAGGCTGAGCCAGGCTGAGGCTGAGGCTGAAGGCAGACTGAGGCCGAGGCTGAAGCAGGCTGAGGCTGAGGCTGAGGCAGGCTGAGGCTGAGGCTGAGGCAGGCTGATGCCGAGGCAAGCTGGGGCTGAGGCAGGCTGAGGGCAGACTGAGGCTGAGGCTGAAGCAGGCTGAGGCTGAGGCTGAAGGCTGAAGGCTGAGGCTGAGGCAGGCTTCAGCTGAGGCTCAGGCTGAGGTTGAGGCAGGCCCAGGCTGAGGCCGAGGCTGCAGGCAGACTGAAGCTGAGGCTGAAGCAGGCTGAGGCTGAGGCTGAGGCGGGCTGAGGCTGAGGCTGAGGCTGAGGCATGATGATGCTGCGGCAGGCTGAGGCAGAGGTTGGGGCAGAGGCAGGCTGAGGCTGAGGCAGGCTGAGGCTGAGGCCGAGGCCGACGGCAGACTGAGGCTGAGGCTGAAGCAGGCTGAGGCTGAGGCTGAGGCAGGCTGAGGCTGAGGCTGAGGCAGGCTGAGGCTGAAGTTGAGGCTGATGCAGGGTGAGGCTGCGGCGGGCTGGGGCTGAGGCCGAGGCTGAAGCAGGCTGATGCTGAGGCTGAAGCAGGCTGCGGCTGACGCAAGCTAAGGCTGAGGCTGAGGCAGGCTGAGGCTGAGGCTGTGACTGCGACTGCCGTTGCCAGCGCGATTGTCATCGCGAATGCGACTACGATTGCGAGAACAGCAGAATTCTACAACTGGATTCTCCTCTGAATCTTAAGGGGGGCGCTTCCATATATGATCCTACACATCGCTGTTCGGTTGCTTTGCCGGGATAATTCCTCTTCTTGTTCCTCAGGTGTCTCCTCCTCCTCCTCCTCCTCCTCCCCCTCCCCCTCCTCCTCCTCCTCCACAATTACACAATATGAATACTACTCTCCCACTTCCCCTGATGGCGTCCGGAAGATGTTCGGCACCCCCCCGCGTACTGTTTTTTTACACACAGGATTCCCTGGAGTTGGGTTTTCGCTTGCGTTTTTTTCTGAAATGCTGCTCTCGCTGAGGCGCCGGCCTCATTTCTGCTCCCGAATCGTTCCGAATCGTGCTCCCGCTGCAGCGTGGGCCTCATTTTCGGATCGGTGTTTTGCCTCCGTCGTTCAGGATGGCGTTCTCGCCCCAGCGCGGGCCTCTTTCTCGCGCGCCCATCCGCCCGCCACCACCGCGCCGCACCACGCCCCGCCCCGCCGCACGCACACCCACCGCCACTTCCACCCACCAACGCACGCACGCACGCACGCGCGCACCACCACCGCGCACCGCCACCACCACCGCACTACCCCACCCACCACCACCACGCTACACCGCGTCACACCACATCACACGCGCGCACACACAGACATACACGAACGCACGCACACACACAAACACACACACACACATACACACGCACACACACAC